ATTTTGATAATATATGATGCGGTGCTGGCGGTTTTTCAGAAAACGTGGCAAAGTGAATATTAGCGTCCAAGAACGTATGGAAAAACTTCTACATTGAAAATTCAAAAATATGACTAAATGAACTATGTCTCCCTATATTCAAAATTGGGGACCTAATTCGCTTCGTTAAAAGCAATACGTTTCAGCCAAGCCAATTAGATTTGAGCATAGTACTTACTGCTTGAATTTGTCATGTAGTTTTAGGGAGAAATTTGTTAATTTGGTCTAATTAAGAGAGATTTTTGACATGGGATCAGAAATGTTTATAATAGCAGATAAAAAGGTATTGAAAGCTCAGAGAAATTAGCGCCGAAGGCTCCAGCCACTTCAAATTGATGGCATTGAGGATAAACAAATCCTATAGCCAAGTAAAATTGTGAATTCAATGACAATTTGAAATCACAATTGTACTTGGCTTTAAGAAAAGAAGGCAAAAATGCTTTTTACATGAAAACCCTGGAAAAAAAACTTAGAACTCAGAAGAAGAAACTTAGAATTTTACAGAGTTCTGGGAACTATTAAAGATTACATCAACTTTTACTACGAACTTAACAAATGAAAGATACAATTTTTTTGGGCAAAGACAGAAAGACCAAGAGTAATTGGAGAACTTTTATGAAATCTTATTACAACTGGCAAAACATTATAAATTAGGAGATCTAGAGACAGAAGTAGTAAGAGATATTTTCATTACTTATACGACAAACGTGTAAACTTAGAAAAAGATGCGTATCGAATAATTAACCCTTGAGAACGTAGAACGTATTAGACTATGTCTTAGTTCACGAAAACGACACAAAGATCCACCAACATTATGTAAAATATTCTTAAATAGCTTTTTAGAAAAATCCCAAAAACTTAAGTCAACTTAAGCCAGGTACCCATAGTGAACTGACCCAAAATAATTTAGAAGACTCTGGAGAAAAGGTAGAAACTGTGGTCATTTTAAGAAGGAACATCTTTAATCTTGCCGGCTAGAGAACGAAATTGTAATAACTGCGGCCGCAATGGCCACTTTGGTCAGCATTGCAGAAGTACCATCAAAACAAAAACATACGTAGTAGAGCAAAAGGCAAATCTACCCGAACAACGACCCCACTGGGATACCCCGCAAGATAACCCCGAATTTAAAGTGGAATGGAAGCCTTCCTAGTATTTGCAGGAGATAGTGATTACGAAGTGAACGTTATTAAGGACAGGATCGAAAGAGGAATAATAACACTCTTCACTCATGAAGGTCACGCGCTAAAGAAAACACTTATGATGTTAATTGTAAACTTATGTCCATTCTCCACAAAAAATGAAATCGATTCAGCTACTCCACGAACCTAAATTAAGAGACACATTCCTAAGAATCGAAGCAGTGGACGAATTCAACTAGGCGGCTTATCAAGGATTCGGGAGTACGATCCTTATCATCGGAAAAATTGTGATAGGTATGCAGTCAAAAGGATGCGACGCTAAAAACCAACAACTATATATCACTGAAGGGCAGAAAGGTTTTTGTTCGGTGATGACATTCCGTCAAACCTGGGGATAAAGGTATCTCAGCACTAGGCCCCACCCGCACAGTTCCAACCATGGACATAACCTAAGAAAACTTCCGTCAGAATACAAGTGAATCAGATCAATTTCGAATCGGACATTCCTTCAAGTGCAAACACTGACACATCTCAACACCGTGAGTTTAAAATGTATATATCTAAAAAAAACCTAGACATTCTTCAAAAACAGGCCGATCAAAACCTTTTCCTGTGAGTACATACTTCAACGAACCATTAACAACGATACAGGTAAAAGGCAGGCACCCATACCTATACACTTACTCTCAAAAGTCAAACACTGTATCGACCAATTACTTAACGACGGTCACATTGGAAAACCTTCTACTTAATCGGAACAATGTTTCATCTCCCCCATCGTCATAACAGCTACAAGTCATGGATCGATTAAATTAGCATTGAACTCAAAACTACTAAATAAAGATTGGTTTCAATAATCGAATCCACGAATGCAATTCAAACACCTTGTTATTCAGATGACATTTGAATTAAGTAAAACTCCCCGGTAAAAACAGGGTAAAGTAGGTAAAAAGCTAAGACCATTATCAACTCAACTAAACTCGTAAAACTCCCAACGGTCGAAGAACCAAATTAAGAGGTGGATTCAGTTTTTTTCGGCCCTCACCATTGTGTCGGGGAACAAAAAATACATACTCGTATGCGTAGATCGATTTTCAAAATTCCCCTCAGCTCAAATAACATCAATTACATCTTCATAGAAAATAAATAAATTTTTCTTGAAAATAAATAACATTACACGGGATTCATAGAGCTATCAGAACGGATTAGAGGTCGGGGTTCATCACAAAAGAAGTTTGTGAATTTTGTGAAAATTGAAAGACAGTTTTTTTATGTAGCCCAGTGTGTGACTCTTAAAAGCAGTAAGTAATACGAGAAATTGAGAGAATACGACTCAGAAAAAACAAAACATCCATCGCCATTGCCAGGTAAAATGCGGCCTTGAACAGCTCAAGGGAGACCCTTCTGGGAGAGAAAAAAGAACAAAGGAAGCGACTTAGTACCCCAATTGGAACGGAGAGCGACCGAGAACGAGTCCCAGCGGAGCAACCCGAAAAACACCAAACGTCGAAGAAGTCAGATATCTCCCAACCGTTCCTGAATATGACATTGAAGGCAGTAACCAACGATGACTCTAGCGACCTAATCTTTTTGAAAGACTTAATGACACTCACACATTTTAATCCTGGACCAACATTAAAGACATCATCAAAAAGATCTATTGAGATCAAGCGTGAGGAAAACACAAACGTTGGATCTGGAGTCCGGCATGGATCATGTGGCGATCGAGGCTAGAGTTGGCCTTAAAACGAGCTCAGATGCCGATCATTTCTCTAATCGAGCTGTGAAGCTCCTTGATAGCAAGGAAGAAACGGACGAGGACGACCCGCTAGAAATCATTTTCCCTCAAGAGATCAAAAACTTAGTAAGCCAAGGCAAATCAGACTTCGAAAAACTTTAATCTGAGCCAAAACTTATACAATGCTCTTCTGAGCTGAAACCTGCAGGAATGGCTAAACGGGAAGCTTCTTTGCCGGTGAAATCACCACCACCACAGAAGATGTCAAATTCACACAGGCGTAACACAAGACCGCTCCGGACCAGACCGCTAGCGCTTTTGTTGGGAGAAAGAGTTTTTTTCAACTTAGTTGATTATTAAGATGGCAGTTCAGGAGCTATTCAAGAGTTGTCCCGTGCTATCCACTTTGGAGGCAGTAACAGTTGAGGTGAAAAACTCGCCAATCCTTTTTGTAGATCTTACTACTCCCGACTCGTCACCATTGAGACATTTGATTCCCGACACTTCAAGACTCAACAGAGAAAACTCAGAGGGTAGGATGAAATTTTTCTCAAAAAACTCACCTATTTCTCCTCATAAGAAAACCAAATTCAACCCGAGAGTCCAAGAAAACCACTATGAACCGACGGGCACTCCCAACGAACATGCGATTCGCGATAGCCCTGATTGGTTGAACACGACCTCAATTTTTGAAGATGGGAAGATCAAGATGAGACGACTTGGGAAGATCAATGACTCTGGAAGAGCTCAGACGCTGAACGGAACTCAGAGAAATGAAACAAGACGCCACTTGAAAACTTAAAACTGAATTTCAACTGTAAAAATTTCCCTAAATTTCAGTAAACTCTGCGTTACTTCTCTTTGCTAATCCGAATATTTGTTCATATCTTAGTACATATGACCAAAAAGTTTGATCGTTATGTTTGATTTTTTTTTCAGTTAAACTGTCTATGATTCTAATTATCATTACTATTTAGCCATGATTAGATTTAGATTTTTGACAATTACCATACAGTTTTCACAAAGCTAGCTTTTCATAAATTCCCTCTTTGGCGCTATATCCAGTGAATCTCTCATTTTTGCTGCTATCTTTTGGCGATCGCGCGCCTGCCCGGATTGCAAAGTATAAGTATATCATCATTTTTCCCAGAAATTTTTCAAGGTGAATATGAAATGTACGTTTTAACCTCTAGCTTTATTTATGTTCTAAATTGTAATTAAAAATACCTGCTGAAAGCACCCCGCTTTTTGGATCTCTCTGACACTGCTCATTGTTCTTTTCGAAAACAAATCTTATTCAACTTCTTAATCTGAGTTTTAATCATTTAATTAGTTTAGAATTGTTACTATTTTAATTGTCTTTTAATCTGATCTTAGTTCAAACGTCTACTACATCTTAATGGTAGAGATACCCTTGCATGCGTGTACATATTCTTAAACCAGTCTGAGTTTAACTACCCTTATATCCGTTCTAAGCGAGATTTTCATCCCTAAGTATCATCAATTTTTAACAGAGTCTGCCATGTAGTTACCATGTATCAGTTTGTGGTTTGAAACACTTCGTCAACAAGGTTTATTATTTTCACTGCTTTGCAAACCCTCGCTATGATGGACATAACATTTTTTTTGAGGATCAATCAATTTCATTGTTTTTACGGTAACTCTATCTCTAAAGAGTGACGGAACACGAAATGATTGTATTCGCTTGAGCATTAAGAGTAGTATTGATAAACGCTTCTAAAGATCAGACTACTTCAATGAAAGCGTGTGCGTTCGAAAACTTGTTCGTAACGAAATTCATTGCCCCCTGGAAGTTCTAGGGCATTGCCATTTGGTTTTGAGCCGATAGGTTTCGGCACACCACTGCCTAACTAAAAGTTTTCCAACGCAAGTTTGTATCTTTAATGGAAGTTGTCCGTACGCGTACATAAGGCTCATTGTTGAAAAATGTAACTATCGCTTTCGCTTTTTATTTTCCTCATCGCTTATGATAGTTCAGATAGATCTTAAAATCTTTGCTCGTTTCATTTAAGCTCAAAACATGGTTGTCAGCTCAAAATCTTTCTTTTCAATCATCTTACCATTTTTAAAATAGAAGTCTACCATATTAATTTGCGACCACTTGGATTCGATGAGAATTCTAAACCAGGCCTCACAGGCCTCTTCGTTCAGAGTCTGTGCAGTCACCCTCTCAACTGAAGTGTCTCCTGGGTCATCGACTGTGCGAGAGTCCTGGGTATGATAGGCGTCCAGACAGTAGTATTTACTACAAGTACGAAATCAATAACAGTTGCTAAAATGTAATTCAGCGGTAATACTAAAAGAAATCTTTTTTTTAAAGTATACTCCTCTTGGCTTCGTTTCATTAACTTCAAATAAAGAAAAAACTCATCCCTCCCCACCTGAATCCCCCACTACCCAGCTGAATCATAAATTGAATGAGAAGTTGACTAACCTATTTTAATGCAAAAGGTATTTGATTTTCTAACGCGTTATTACTGACCGGCCTACAAACAGTACCTGAAACCAGGGGCAGATCTAGGATTTTCTCGAGGGGTAAAATTTTCCCATTATTTTCCTACGCTCAATGAGAAGCTGATTAACGTATTTTATTGAAGAACAGGGTAATTGCATTAGTTAAATTTTAAATTTTTTTACACAAACAGAACCTGAAACGTCTGCACTTGATTCCGAAGGTGCTGATTCCATTAGATATCCAGAAGAGAAGGGAAGCCCAGTCGGGACTAGCCGGATTGACAGAGAACTCA